TGTGTGTGTGTGTGTGTGTGTGTGTGTGTGTGTGTGTGTGTGTGTGTGTGTGTGTGTGTGTGTGTGTGTGTGTGTGTGTGTGTGTGTGTGTGTGTGTGTGTGTCCATACATGTCCAGAAGGGAGCAGTGTGCCAGTGCTGGTTGTCGTGAGTGAAGCAGGTGAGTCCGGGCATCGAACAGGTGTCATTGTTTCTGATCCTCTTGATCATCTTCCTCATCTTCTTCCTCCTCTTCTGCTCCTTCAGAATCCACTCCTTCTTGTCCCGAGCGCCGCCCTTCCTGCACACACATTAAAAACACACACACCGGTTACACACAAGTCATCAGCAAATATATGCTAGAGTCAACTGTCAGATGTTATTCCACCACCCAGCCCCACAGGTAAGAGGAACAAACACATGTTATGAGATTTTGGGGGAAACTGTCCAAAGATATGTTCATGTAGAGGTATGTCTCCCACTTTGACACGCAAAGATGACATCGACCTCAGCCGTCGGATGCAAATATCAAACGTGTTCTTGTTCATCATCAAAAACTATTTCTGAGAACATCTGGCAGTGACTGGATCTTTAGACTATTGTGTCTCTTAAATTCAAGATCAAAATGTGTGATTTAAACATTGACAATGGCAGGTGTACAAGAAAAAGGGAGACAATTAGAAATCAAACACGCAATTCAAGATGGATTCTTTAGACTTTTGTATCACACATTATGTGAACATCAGATTTCCCAGACCAGAACAGACCCGGTCCAACTTGAAATTAAGCATATCGAATCAAGACCTCTTTTAATCGTCACACATGTGTACACAGCATCGCCCACACAGTGAAATTGGCCATAAACTAATTGGTCAAATTGAAGATTTATTGGAGGGAAAAAAGGGGATAAATGGTCAGATGGTCAATGGTTCGATCCCAAGCCCCTGCAGTCAACATGTCGAAGTGTCCTTGGTAAAGGACTCTTCTGGGACTCAAACCAGCAACCCTTCTCTTCCTAAGCCAGGTCCCTACAGACAGAGCTCGTAAACATCAGTTTAATGTTCAAGACATCGATGTTCTCTGCTGCTTCTCTACTGAGCGTTGGTCTCACCTGAAGGGGTGCCCGCCACCTCTGAACCTCAGCTTATTCTTCAGTTTGGACTTAAACCTGAAAAAGATACATGTTAACACCTGCTGTAACAACAAGCGGGGTATTATTCTGTGTGTTGGTGTGTGTGTGTGTGTGTGTGTGTGTGTGTGTGTGTGTGTGTGTGTGTGTGTGTGTGTGTGTGTGTGTGTGTGTGTGTGTGTGTGTGTGTGTGTGTGTGTGTGTGTGTGTGTGTGTGTGCATTTGGTCTCACTTACAGGTATTTATTACAGTCACACTTTAGCGGCCGGGCCTTCTTCAGGTGACCTCTGACCTCTCGCAGGTTCTTTATCTTCGTCTGAAGCGTCTCAATCTAAAACAAATAATAGTGAGTTGAAAAACTACAACTGGACAAACCTGATTTTTCTTTCATATATATGAGTAATGATAATCAATTGATATGAAATAATATTTAAACAGTTACAGGAGACATTTTTCATACTTTAGCTACATACTTCTTGGTAACTTTGTGGTAATAGTACTTTTACTCAGTTAAAGGCTCTGAGTGTTCTCCCAGCAGGCAGTGTGTTACCTCGTGGTCGATGTGCAGCTTGTGGTCCTTCCAGGCCTGCAGAGACTGATACACTCCAGTATCACACTTCACTGTGGCGTTAGGGAGAAGGAAACATCTGCAGAAAGAGAGAAATCCTGTATTAACCAGGTGAGAAAAATACACAAAGAGCAGAATATATATATAAACAGATAAACATCAGGCCTTATAGAAGCTGACGGAGCAGAACACACACTTTTATCCTGGTTGCTTAAGTTTATAAAACAAAGATTATTCAGGAGAACAAGCTGAGCTATCTGATGATTGTCATTAGTCATGATTAAACACTAACATTCATCTTAATTCCAACCAATGTAAATGAGCCCAAGTTATATACTGTGTAGAAACAAGAATATATTCAGGGAACACCTCAGAGTGATCAATGACGGGGTCTTATGATTAAAGACCTGAGGTCCATATTTCTTCTGGGAATGAAGGATGGAAAAACGTTTAGGGTAATTACAGAACTTAAAGGTGGGGTAGGTAATTTCGGAGAAACCAGCTCGAGTGCGCTCGAATTTGAAAATACACAACCGGAGAAAATCTGCCACTTCCTTCAGACTTCCTTACAGAGCCCCTCCTCCAACACACACGAACGCGCACATGACCAATGAGGGCACGAGATAAGTTTGTGCACACATGGAAGGCTGACAGGCAGGTAGGCCATCCAGTTATTTTAGCCGGGCCGGCTAAAATGATTGGTCGTACTTTTTACAGTACCACGGCTTCCACAGATGATATTTTTTTATGGATTTTTTGTCAAAGCACTTAAGATATTCATTGCTATCGGGATGTTAAGAGCATTCCATGGAATATAACAAAAAGTGTATCTCGAGCCGGTTTCTCAAACTTACCTACCCCACCTTTAACTTTTAGGAAAAGCGTGGAGACGAATATGAACCTTCAAGTATACCTTTTATGTTTGGTAAAAATGGTTAAGCTTCATTTTGTAAGTCTGTGATTTCTCAATCATTTTCTAGAAAGCTTCTTTTAAAAAACGATATTCTGGTATTTATTCCTAAGAAAGATAAAGTTAAAATACCAGCATTAAAGTGGACCTATCATGCTATATTTGAATAATATAGTGTAGGACCATACCTATATAAGGCATATTTATAATTTTTTTTTTCAAAATACCAAACAGATCATGCATTTTAGCCATGCCTCATTTCGCTCAATTTGACATTTTTTAGATCTGTTTTAGCAAGGGTTGATTCTGTGAGCAACAGCACCATCTAGAGGCCTGGCATATGTACTACAACGTCTCCAGCGCTTTCGAACGGCAATGCCGTGGCTGTCTCCTCCTGATTGGTGGAGTTGGCCCAATAGCCGTAGCGCCACCGTCCTGACGTCAGGACAGTGTTCAAATCTGGATCAGTTTTTATCAGATCCGTTGCAGCCCCTTTTTTAGAGATTTGGGTATGGAGGAAAATAGAGAGTTGTGTTTTCTGACACTTGGTGAGTTCCCTGGAACACCGGGGACACATATTCATGTATAAAAGACGTACAAAAGTGCATTTTGCATGATAGGTCCCCTTTAAATATCATTTAGTTGTGAATGGGGTATTGGTGAGTTCCCTGGAACACCGGGGACACATATTCATGTATAAAAGACGTACAAAAGTGCATTTTGCATGATAGGTCCCCTTTAAGGTTTGGTTTGGTTGAATTTTAGATAGATTTTCTTGAAAGAGTTGTACCATTTAAAAAAAAAGCGTCTAAAGATATTTTAGACTATTGGATGGACGAGTATTTGACCTCAGTATTCCTGGTTCCCAACCAACGTAAAGTTCAGATTGGCTAAAATGATGCCACACACACACACACACACACACACACACACACACACACACACACACACACACACACACCACACACACACACACACACACACACACACACACACACAGACAGACAGTAAGACACACACACACACACACACACACACACACACACACACGCACACGCACACCACCCACACACACACACACTCACTTGTGTGTGACCTTGTGTGAGTTTGGCAGAGAGACGCCGTTGGGATCTCCTCCCATCCCGCTGAACTCGTCCTCGTCGCTGATTGGCTGAGGCCAGTCTTCCCCTCCCACCATGCTGTCGTTACCGGGGTAACTGTTCGTTATGGACACAGAGCGGCTGTAACGGTTCCTGGAGTAACTCTTCAGGGTTTTGAACTCTGAAACACACACACAGTATTTTTGGTATTTAAATTGTATTACAGTGATTACCACTGCATTTATTTGGCTTTATTTGACTATATTTTCAATTAAAGTTATGAGGAAAGTGAGGCAGAACTTTTTTAAAGGCTTTTTCACTGAAACCTCACATCTCTGCAGGACCAGAGAGTGGCTGCAGTTCTGATCTCAAACACTAGAGGTCAGCAACACACCAGGAAGTACAGGTGAGTTTACTGAAACCACACCGGTAGAAACACTGGAAGAAAATATGAGTTTGATTTCCATATAATCACTCAGATGTACAAACAAAATTAAGAGGATATTCTGAACAAGAGAGGACCCATCTGAATGGTTGGCATTGTGGATTATCTGGAAGAAACACTATTATGTTATTAATCATCCACTATAAGTAATCATGGTGAAACAAGCTTGCACCCTAACGAAGGAAACACACAAAAGGCTCTTCACTTTCTGCGGTTTTCTTGTTTCGGCGGAGGAATTCTTTGTAATAAAGGACGTGATGGGAGTCACAGGACTGTGTTTAACTGATTAGCAGCAGGCAACATCTTGCCGCCATTGCCGACAAATGTGAAACCATCCCCAACTTTTATTTGGCTGCTAGCGATGTGATTAAACTAAACTAATGTTTTAAAATGAGTCTTTTAACTGCACGGTATTTACAAGGTAAGCCTTTTGAATATGAGAGTTGTCACGAATCTCCAGTTTTACCACTCCCAGGCCAATCTGCATGCAAAAAGAATAAAAACTCAGAAGGTATAAAAGGCTAGGTAAAGGGACTCTGGATCGCTCAATGGTTAGCATATATGCCCTGTCTGCTGCCAATAAAGTTTGACTCCGAGCCTGCAAAGGTTTCAGGCCACTTCATCCCCTCTAGCTTGTATCTCCAATAAAGGCACTCTTTTGCCCAAAATGATATCAAAAAATATTATAAAATTCAGTCTGCACATCACAATTCATCATAGCGGTGTGTCTCTTATCACAGTTCAAGAGTCACTGCTGCCCCCTGCTGGATCAAACATGAAAACTCACTCTTCTTGGAGAAGAACGGCTTCTTGTTGAACGGCCTCGTCATGGAGGGTCTCGGGTTCAGAGGTCGGAGGTCACTGAGGTCGCAGTCACAGTCTTCAGAGTTACGTCTGTACTTCTGAGACTTGATGCTGAGAGGACGCTGACGCCCGAAGATCTTAGCTGCTGCTGCTCCGCCTTCATTCTTACATTTGGAGAGGCGGAGTTTACCTGTGGCGTCCTCCACACACTGCCACTTCTACACACACACACACACACACACAAAAAACACAAAAAAAAACAGTACTCAGAGAGAATTCTGTAAAAGGGTTGATCCTCGACACAAAAGGTAGGTACAGTAGTTACTAACTTACGTAACTTTCAAAATAAACTTCACTATTCAAATTAAATTAAAATTCAATGGCTTTATACTCATTTTTAACATCAGAGAAGATCGGAAGACTTCAATATAGAGTATGAATAAGGAGGAATGATTCATAAGGATACAGTATTGTTACCTCTATAGTAAAGAAGTTGGATAAGGAGGAGACGGATTAGACTTGAAGTTCATTGAATCCGGAATAGAATTATGGGTTAAGATAAGAAATAAAGTAATAGGATCAGGCTGAAAGTAAATAATGTAGACAAAAGCTACAGGCTAGTTTATCCTATAGGTTATGCTACACCAACTATGAAAAATACTTTAATTAAGTTGTCAAAATAAGTTGAGAAATAAAATAGAACAACAGACATAATTGTGCACGTAAAATGCAAGAAACAAACATATGTTTTGTGGCTGGGGATTGGACCAGGACCTTCTGATTGGAGGATATGAGCAGCAGCTCTATTCGTTTTTGTTTTCATTCTGCAGCTGTTTGTTACCAGGAGCTGAACATGTTTCTTCTGTTGCACTAACTTATTAAAGAGTGACAAAGCCTGAATAGTTAATTACACACACACACATAACACACACACTCCCTCTCTCTCTGACACACACACACACACTCTTTTCTGCAGGCTGTTTATCGGAGGGATCCAGCAGCCTGCAGACAGAATTGCTGAGCGACTAATCAACAAGCTGAGGGGATTCTTCGACAAGTGTAATTAACTTCAAACAAGCATGAACACACACACACACACACACACACACACACACACACACACACACACACACACACACACACACACACACACACACACACACACACACACACACACACACACACACACACACACACACACACACACACACACACACACACACACACACACACACATCGTGATTCCCTTCACGTCTGTGCTCTTTGGTTCTGCCGCTCTCAGTCCATTGTGTTGCTCCTCTCTTCGTTACTGCTGTTATTTGTCTGGTTTCTACAGATCTGGTTTTCATCTCCCTGACAGAAGTCCCTCTCTGTTCCACTCGCTGTCTTTCAACTCTTTGTTTGTTTAGAACAGCGGTAGCCATCGTAGCTTTCCTGTGTTTATTCCAAAAAAGCTCTTTATAATAGAGTGTTCTGGGCAGGAACATCTCAGCTACATTTAGTGATTTATAACATCAGAGAAGATTGCAAGGCTTCAATATAAAGTATGAATAAGGAGGAATAGGATTCATAGGGATAAAGTATTGAAGAGTAAAGTAATGGCATCAGGTGTAAAGAAATATGATTAATTGATAGAACCAGGAGTAGTAACCGCTAGAGTAAAGAAATAGGATCAGGAAGAGACAGATTAGACTTGAAGTTCATTGAATCAGGAATACAATTATGGGTTTCAATTAGAAACTAGAGAATGCAATTCCTGAAGAAATTGCTAGTGGGAATGCTTTATGCTGAAAAGCTGACGCTAAACTGCTATGCTAAAATGTAATGTGTAAGAAGAAAGTGAAGAATTTAGATTGAAATGATACATGAACACTGGGGGCTTGAATGTGTGATGAGAGAAGAAAAGAAAGTAAAAAGGCTTGGAAAAGCAGCAGAAGATTTTAACTGCAAACTTTTGAACTAACTTGATGGCGAATGATCTGTCGCCATACCAACGGCATTTGATGACATCCCATAATACGCTTAGATGCGTTGATGGCTGCATCGTTACCAAACCTGTGAATATTTGGACCGTTTGGAGCATTTTCACTGAAGTTATGAGAAAACCGTGTTTCATGGTGAGCATTGTGTTGCCATGGCAATGGCATTTGAAGAAATCTCAAAACTGTCCCGTAGATGTCTTCACTGCTGGACTGTTAGCACACATGTGAAGTTTGAGCACTTTTTGAACATTTTCATAGGAGTTATAGCGACATCGTCTTTTATGGCGAGGGATGCGTTTCCATGGAAACGGCATATGGTGAGATGTCAGATTTGACGTAGAGCTGTTGAGGCATGGAGAGGTGATATACAGGTGAAGATTGTGGGACGACCGGACCGTGTCCATTGGAGCTTCAGCGACATTGTGTTTTATGGCGAGGGATGCGTTTCCATGGCAACAGCCTATGGTGAGATCTCAGATTTGGCGTAAAGCTGTTGAGGCATGGACCGGTGATATACAAGCGAAGTTTGTGGGATGACCGGACCGTGTCCGACATCGTGTTTTATGGCGAGGGATGCGTTTCCATGGCAACAGCCTATGATGACACCCCATAATTGACGTAGAGCTGTTGAGGGCAGGACCATTAACCATTATCTGAAGTCTGCTGTTCTGAGCATGTCAGTTGGAGTTATGACATCATCGTGTTCCATGACAAAGGTGTTTATATTTGAGCTAACGACGTGTCCAGAGATCAAAGGTTTCCATGGTGATGTGCAGTAATCAGTGAGAGGAGAGCATTTTCATTGTTCTGAATGAGAAATAAACCTCTTACATGTGAACGTGTTGTTGAAGAACCGTAACAGATATCGGTGAAATTTCAAAGCGTGAAGCATGTCAAGGAACTTGAGCATCTGAAGTATACTTTTTGTGTACTTTCGGGTCAATAATGTGGCCTTTGTGACAGATTAACTAAAGGTGTGCGGCTGCTGTGGTGGGGAAAGAACACTGAAGGCTGAACTTACAATGGGGTTTAATGGAGACATGTTGAACGTTTTTGTCACTTCATGCCCTCAAGAGGCAGGTTTGTTGTAATTATTTTGCTTAATTTTTTTTTAATTTTCAAGCTACGAGATGTTTTCCTACGTTTCTCATGAATAATTATGTCTCAGGAATGTAGGGTTTGGGAATTATGGCAGGTTTAAAAGAAAATATGAAGGCAAAATGAAATCTGTCCTCCACTCTAAAATCTGAAGAAGGCCTCTTTACCAAGGTCTGAACAATGTTTAATATTTCTAAAAGTATGTCAGGAAGATGTGTAACATTTTAAAGTTGGAATGAGGTTTCTGAGTGAAAGTATGAAGGAGCAGTTAGCAGTTGAAGTTGCAAGAAGATTTTTCAAGTCTGAAGAGTTTCTCCATTGACTTCCATGTTAAAAATTTGATGAATTATGGGATGTATCTCTGGAATTATGAAAGTTATGAATGAGAAAAGTAATAGCCATCGATTCCCGACCGAGCTGAACGTTTTGATGTTTGAACGGAGTTTCTGCGATGTGGAATGTGGGAGGAGAAGAGGGGCAAAATAACCCAGCAGAATAATAAAGAATTTCGTGCGTCGAATAACAAGTAGTGGGAATGCTGTATCAGCACTAAATAAAGTATTAGGATCAGGCTGAAAGTAAAGCACAAGGATTTGGAGTAAAGTATCAAGACTTGAATGAGTATGATCGTGAGTAAAGTGAAAGGATAAGGAGTAGTATGATCAGAGTAAAGAAAAGGAATGGGAATAAAGTCATGGGATCAGAAGTAATAAGATTCAATAGTATTTGAAAGGAGTAGGATTGGGAGTAATGTACTAGATTACATGTACTAGTAAAGTGATATGGTCAGGAGTAAAGAGATAGGATTAGGAGAAAAGTAACAGGACTGGAAGAACTAGTAAAAGGATTTGATATAAAGTGCAAGTATCTGGAGTAAAGTGATAGACCTGGAAGAAATAAGACTGGGAGTGAGGTCATTATATCAGGAGTAAAGTAACAACATCTGGTGTGAAATAATAGGTCTGGAATGAAAATGATTGGGAGTAAAGTTAAAGGAATCAAGAGAAAAGAGATGGCATATCCAGTGAAGTAATGGGATAATGAGAAGTGTAATGGGATGTGGAGCAAGAAGGGAGTTGGGGATTAAAGTAAGTGATGGTTGTGGGGTAAAAGGCAGTAGGAGGGTGTAGGATTCTTTAGCCAGAAATGGCAAAAGAAACACATCCTTTACTCCAGTATACAGAATACTCGTGTTTTAGGGGTTCTCTCTCTCTCTCTCCTCTCCTCTCTCCTCTCTCTCTCTCTCTCTTATCTCTATCTATCTCTTCCTCTACTCTCTACTCTCCTCTCTCCATACTCTCTCTCTGCGCTGATCTCTCGTACTCTCCTCTCTCTACTCTCTCTCTTCTCTCTCTCTCTCTCTCTCTCTCGCTCAGTACCTGTCCTGGTTGCTGGCAGGGCTTCTGGTACTCGGCTCTCTGACAGTAGGTCCTTCACTCGTGTGTTTGGGCAGGAAGTTTTTCCTCCTGAGGACACTTCCTTTCCCATCCACCCGCTGGTGCAGCAGCTTCCTGTTAACACACACACACACAACACACACCACACACACCACACACACCACACACACGGGCACACACACACACACACACACACACACACACACACACACACACACACACACACACCACACACACACACACACACACACACACACACAGGCACGTTACTAACACTATTGTTTTCTAAATAAAAATGTTACTTTAACTGTTTTAAAGGTCTAGGACAGGGTAGTCCAAACTTTTTTCACAGAGGGCCACACACAGAAAAATATATGAAGGACTGGGCCACTCACTAGAGGTGAGGTTTATTGCCTCATAAGTTAAGTTATAAGTTGGAAAAAGCAATCCAATGTAGGTTAATTATTCTTGATACTTGAAAATGCTTTTAGAAAAAACATGAATACTTTGTAACATATTTGAACATATATATTCAAGCAGTGCAATGCTTATATTAATAAAGTACCCATAAGCAGAAGTTTATTATACT